CACACACACAGAGCATACACAGACATAATCACACACAGGTAAACAAGCATTTCGGTATACGTTGTGTTATTTTTGAGTTTTACCTTTGCACATTCGTGTCCTTGCAGCTGTGGCACTTGTCAAGTCGTTTGCTTGGACCGTGTAAACAATATGCGTATGAAAGAGACAGCCTAATAGCGAAAGAGAGAGAGAGAGAGAGAGAGAGAGAGAGAAAGAGAGAGAGTGCAGCAGCGGAGGCAGCAGGCAAGGCCCGGCCAACTAGTAAATGCATTAATGCCAAGACCCAGCTGCAGGTGCAACCTCAGCCTTATGCTCAGCCTGAGCTTAGCGCATCGTGTCAAAAGCGCTCAACTCGCAAATTTGCGCCCCATTACAAATACACATGCGTCTCGGTGTGTGTGTGTTTGTGTGTGCTTGTGTTTGTGTCGAGTGAAGTGAGGCTACAATGTTTACGCTATGACATGGCTAGAATGCTCAGCTTGGCGCCTGAAGTGTTTTTTGCTGCCGTTTTGATTGCACTACGCCTCAAGATCAGCACATTTTCCCAATTCTGCTCGGCACCTAACGTAAACCCCTCGGCTCGTTAAGTGTCATCAGGCAGACAGTGGGGGCTGCTTATGGCATTTGATGCTATTTTAAATGCATAAGCCACGTCTTTATTTTCCCTTGCATTTAAATAAATAAAGGACACGTTTGAGTGCCATTGCGACGCGAAGCAAAATGCGACATGTTGATTTTTAAACTGGCCATAAAAATGTTTATTGCACGGCCAACTGCGACGCTTTAGTGCAAAGTGCGTTGAGTGTCCTTTTCGGGCGTCTTGCCTCATTAGCAATTGAAGTTAAGTTTGGCCCTCTGGCATCAGTTTGGGCTCGTATCATGCAATTTTCATTTGCCAAATGCGTCGTTACGCATAAGCCCAGAGCGTCGGTTGTTGTATTGTGTTGCAGCTGAGAAACAACACAAATGTTGCTCGTCTATGGGTTAATGCATTTTTAATGCATCCAACACACTCTGAAGGCGTAAAATTGCATTGGAATTGCTTTAATTAAGTGGATTTGCATTCGAAATTGACACAAAATTTCCCAGCAGGCAACAACAATAGGAACACTTCACTGCCCAAAATGAAGGAGCCTGTTTGTGGAGTGAGTTTTAATTGATTGCTTCATAAATTATTCACATCAAAATGAGGCACACATGTGGTATCCTTAATTTCGAAAGTAACTCTAGCAGTAGCTAAAATAGGGACAACAAATAAAAAAACAGGAGCTTCTTCATATTTAAAGAGATTGAAAATCAAATATTTTACATACTTATTGCAATTATTTATTATTTACATTTACTGTCGATTCATTAAGCAATAAAGTAGTTATGCCGAAACCAGCTGGAATACATTTTATATTGTGCTAACATTTATTTATTATAACTGCAAATATGAAATCGTTGACAAAACACACAATAAAAATTTAGTTTTGATCAAGACAAGTGGTAAATATTTGCATAGAAATTTGTTTAAATATTTGCTTAATAATATGACATGCCAGTAATTTATATTCGTTTATTTGCATCTGAATTGGCTTTGTGCTTTGATAAACTTGCTCTCCAAAAGTCAAAAAGGACATGCACAAAAATATATATTACACCAGAGAGAATGGTTCATATGTAAATATGTGCTTTTTGTATAAGAGACTTGATAATTTGCAAGTGTCGTTGACAATCAGAAATGTTTCCTGTGTGCGCGTGTGTGCATCCTTGACACTTTAAGTGAAATATGCAAATAAAAGATGTGGAAATGTTACTGCTCTGATTGACTTGTCAATAAGCTAATTTAAATATTTGCGCAACTTGAAATGCTTGATGTGAATACATTGAACTAATTAGCTTAGTCATTTCATGATGATTTATGCTCAAAACCACTTGGATTTATAGACCTCAAAGTTGGCAATTAGCTGGCATATACGTTTGTATGTAAAATAATACACGACTCGCTCAGTCGCATAATTATAATGAAGCGTTTTGTCCGCTTCTGCTGATGCTTAACTTAACCTTAATTCCATGTTAGCTCGAGCTTTTTATTGCAGCGCTTAAACATTTCATTGTGCTCGCATTCCTTGTGCAGGTGCGACAAAAACTGCTTGCATCACGCATAAAAAATGCGCCGTCTGCTAATTAAGTTGCTACCAAAAATAAAAAAGAAGATATAGAATAGAATAGAATGGCGTATATGAAAGAAAATGGAGAGGAGCAAAGGAAAACTGAGTATAGACTGTGTGCAAACGCATTGTGTTGCAGTAACTTTTGTGCATAAAATACATAGAACAGATGCCGCTTCTCCTAGGATGCGGGCAGCATGTGTTGCTTACTGCTGCTATTGCTGGTCGCGAGTAGAGCTGGCAGCCCTGACCACATTTTAATTGGGCTAAGCACACGATCCACTCGCTGGGTTGCATGTGTGACATGCTATTAGTGAAACTTTTAAATGAGTTAGCTAAGTAAAGCGGGTAATGCTGTTATGAGTTTTTGGTTAGCCATTACAAAAGCTTGCCAGCTTTTACAGTTAGCACAGATTGTCACGTATATACACTACATGCACAGTTAATGGAATAATTCACAGAAATCCTTGATGTGTAGAAATAGCTCACAGGCGGATTAAGTCAAAGTGCTTGTGCCAACTTTTTTGTATTTGTCAACAAACTGTGCTTTGCCTAACATATGTAAGCAATCTTTAGTAGTGAACTTTCACTGGTGATATCAAAACAACTAAATTAAATTAAAATATATAAAACGACTGGCAATAACCTCGTTGGAGGCAAAAGAAAAAGTCCTCGAAGACTTCCTACAAACACTTCTTATTGTTTAATTGCAAGCACAAATCAAAGCAGTTTGTAGTTAATTTGATGGGTTAAGATATCAGTTCGATTTAATTTATTTTCAATGCCGTATAACTAACAATTTAATTAAGTATCGATTGGTTAATTAGTCGACTTAAAATGTTTTATATTTAAAGTACTTAACTGAAAGGATTAACCAAAGTATTATGTAGTCAATTTGTAAGGCCGGATGGGATAAGATTTCTGCTTGATTTTGAATACATTTAAATTTAATGCAATTTAACTAGCAACTTAAATAAATGAACCTAATTAATTTGTTGCCAATTTGCAAGGTCTAAGGGAAAAGATTTCCTGGATTTCCTAACAATTTAATTAAGTGCCTACAATTAGTCGATATAAAAGGTTCTGCCCATAACTGTTAAATAACTGACTCACTAGTAGTTTGACTATTTAGTAGTACATGTATCAAAATTATCGTCTAATTGATATGCTTTAAATTCGGCTATAAAATTGCAATTATCCTAACGCGATATTTAGTTTGTAAGCCCGTCGAAACTTTCTATTAATTGCGACATTTTATTTGTGTGTGTGGTAATTAAGGCATAAGTGCACGCAATTAACTTGCAATTAGGCTCATGCAATAATTTTTGATTATTTCTTGCGCTCTTTCTGTCTTTAAATGCCACAAAAACGCCTCAACACTGTAACGTGGCATGCAGCAATTATCGCAAATTATATTGCCCATATATGGTTGCATTATGCGTAGGCATCGACTGCCATACCGAATATAATGGAAAAACTCTGCATGACAGCGAAACAAAAGAATGCCAGGAACGAAAAAAATATTATTCAATTACGACAATGGCCATTGTGAATGTTGCAATGAGGCAGGATAGGCGTCTCTCTTATGCCAACGATGAGCATAAAATATGAGTTGCAATAAATACTTGAGGCTTATTTTGCTCCAGCTCATTCCCAATAAATAAATGCAATACAATAACAATCACAATCCAGCAGTCTGGTCTCATTTACAATATTCATTCAGAGTTGGCCAGCGGACCAATAATATTCATTTTTGAAGAGATCCCAATAATTGCGCACAGCGCATAACAAAACTCATTGAATCGCGACGGCTTTTGTCATTGGGATTTATACCACGCATCATAAATGAATGGTAGCTCCAATTATTAGGCTTATTCCATGAACAAATGTAAAATAATAATAGCAAGAGGATATTTCTATTAACAAAAACTGAAGCAATTGTCTCATTGATCAACATGTGTTTGGTATATGTTTTGCTCTTGGGATTGATTCAGATTTTTAAATCATTATGCGAACAACTATTTTTATTCTTCATTTAATATTTGATAAAATCTTTAATTTAGCCAACATTTTTAACCACATGTAATACTTATTATTATTATTGTTTTAATAATCAAAAATATTTATGAAATTTATATTTTCAAGCTTTAAGGTTTTCTGCTGCTGTAAACTTTATTGTAACAACAATCGAAAAGGCGTCCAGGAGCACTTGTTCCACAAATTGTATTTGCATTTTTTAAATTCCTCAATAAATATGTATATATTGCTTTGAACATTATGTTATAAGATTGCAACAGTTGAAGGAACTATATAAGAATCATATTCAATTGCACTTTGTTGCGAAAATTGTATAATATTTCTGAATAAAATCTTGTGAAAAGGAATACTTAAAAGTCAAGTACAATTTGAGAAAAGTGCAGTGGTCAGTAGTCGGTCGTGGGTGAGTGGGATGGTGACTTAGTGTGTGGTTGCCAGAATGCAAAATAAGTTGAGTATTATGAAGAACCCACTAAAGTCAGGACTGGCCGCATTGATAAAGCCTGATGTCGGGCTGCCTTCGCTCGTGGTTCGCTTAATTTGCATAAAATTCAAATAAAATAAACGACAAACATTATAATCATTAGCCCGTGACCGCCCCCTGGGTGCAGTCCTCAGTCTCAGCGAGCCAAGCAGCCAGGGTGGAGTAAGTTGTTGCCGTTGCCTGATTGCAATGGAGGGTGGCATCGTCCGCTGGGGCCGTTGACATATTTATGGAGTTTCTATGTTAACGAGCCGTAAATTAATTTAGCTAATGATATATGCAACAAAGCGGCCAGCACCCCAGCATCCCCACCAACCCGCTGTCCATTAAAAGCCTATCCAATCCTGCAATGCGACTTTCTGCTGCTCCACCTGCTCGCCCAACTTCTGTGTCATCGCAAACGAGATGAGCACCAGCAAATAATTACACACAATCGACGTATACTGAAAGTAAATAGAGATTTAATAGTTATATCAGAGATAATACAATCAAGATTGCTCTTACAAAAGCATAGCCTGATAAACGGATAGACGAATAGACATCCTTGTCGATTTTGTGATTATATACTGACCAAAAACGACTCTATGCTTACCAGAGTGATTATAGTTTTATTAAGCACAGTGCCCGTCCCGCTCGTAAATTCGATTTTAAACTGCAAACGCCAACGCATCATAGATTCCACCAGCTGCTTCATAGCTGGGCGTCCTGGAAACCAGTTGTCTAACTGCTCCAACAGCTGCAGACATTTGCGTCCCTCCTCCACGCTCTTGTTGCAGTAGACGGGACCGATGAGCATCTTGTAGAATGGCACCAGCATGCAGACGGACAGAGAAGCGAGTAACATGAAGCCCAAGTTGTCTTCACTATCGTTGCTGCTGCTGTTGTTGGTGTTGGTGCTAATGTTACTATTGCCAACGGATCGACCAAATATGATAAATAGCTCACAGGTGCTTAGGGTAAAGTCGTGTGCCATGGCAGACCATAAGCTGAGACTGTATACTTCATTGATCTTCTGGATGATGTAGTACAGCTCCTTGACCATATTCACCAAGGTACGCATTCGTCGCTCCATTAGCTGATCCTGGCCAAACTGCCTGTAGAGTAGCCGTGGCTTGAGAATCTTCTGCACTAATCGAAATCGTATGCTGAGCAGTTCAGCAAGTATCATGTGAGCATAACCCGTTAAGTGTGGTCCACCGGTGATGACCGTGTAGCACAGTGCTGCGGACACCATAAGCCCAAAATTATGACCCTTGGCGAGACATACCATCACCGTATTCACAGAAGCCAAATACAGAATGCTGACACTTGTGAGCACTATGATATTTTTTCGCATAAGCTTGGCATATCTGAGATTGACACCAAAATCGTCAATCAGCGACCTATCAATCGCCGCGAGCCGCTTGTAGATGCTTAAATGATTATGTGCACAGGCCTGAAGCGAGATCACTGTGATAATAAACACTAGCGTCGATATCACCACTTCTAGTCCTATTATACTCAGGACCAGTTTGTCCACTCGAAGCACTCGCTTTCGCAGCAGCTCATTCTGCAGCAGGGCATAGATGGCGCCGGATAGCCCAAGCACAGCCAGACAGGCACAGAACAGGGAGTAGATTCGAGTCCACTTGTTGATAAAGAAACGGCCACCATGCTCAAAGAAGCCATTACAGCAGACGATCGACAGCAGTCGGAATTTCAAACCAACGCACTCATACAGAGTTTCCGGCTCGGGAAAGTAATATAGAACAGCCATTATTTTTACGGACTGTTTGAAATCATCGTTGGTCACGCACTTTCAGTGCCTGAATACACATTGAAATCGAAAATTGTGGTAGTAAAACGGTTTGGCAACGATGACCAATATATAATCATGTAATTAACAACTAGTAAATGAGATATCTGGCAGATACACACCATGCTTCATTAGAAACAGCTCAAATATAATTTACTAGAAACCATTACCCGTCCATAGCCGGAGTCTTAATTAATCTATATATTCTGATGAAGAAGATATTATCGAATGTTCGTTTCGTGTAATGTCCAGCGTGTCCGTTTGTCTGCCCATCTACAAATTGTACATTATCTGAACTTACACATCTGAAACGTATATACGGACAGATGTTTCAGATCCAGCATTTAAATTATCAATGTGATTGATTGAGTAGCGGGTTTTGAATACACCCATAAATATATTTAGGCAATTATAAACACATCAGCACTGAGTGAACATTTTAATAGCTATGCCCACAATAGACGGGCCCAGAACCATTGCTGGATCCTAAACTCACTTTAAACATTATATATATATATATATATATATATATATATATATATATATATATATATATATATATATATATTGCATTCCGAAATAAATTTGTATCAACATTCGGCAAGCCGAAGGATTTATCGATAAAATAAAATTAATTTGATCTTGATCAACGCACAGACTGACATCGACACGGCTGTTGTTGCCGATTATGTGTATGTTGTTTCAGGATAATTGAATTGCAATATTTTTCTTGTTATAACAATGTTACTTAATATTTATTTATTTAATTATATGCTGAACATACGTTTAAGAAAACTGAAATAATTAGACTACAAATATTAAGTAATTTTTTTATCCGACTTTATTTGCTGGAATGATAATCTTTGTTAATAAGGAATTATAATCTTTGCTAATTGGAATTTCTGCAGTGATTATATTTAATTTATTTTTTTTGAAACAACAGGTTCCATAGCTTGAAAATAAAACTTGACCGTGCCAATGTGATCATTTGTGTTATTGATGTGTTCCCTAAATATGTTGGACCATAGATAGAAACCCAATGGGAACGGAGGTATAAGATGTGCATCAATATATAGGTTGCGGGCTAATAAGTGACCATCAACAGGGCAACTGTGATTAACGTTTGTAAATTGTTTTAAAATTGTATTAAATATAACGCCATATGCCATGAAATTTCGTTTTGAAATTGCATCGCATACGTTAAAGTTAACATCTATAAGAAACGGTTGATATTGATTGCTGTAGTCCTTCTTAGAGACTGTTATTCGCACCTGGAATAACTTTTTGATAAATACATATTATGCAGAGTTAATTCAACTTACTGATACATTACGTAGTGGTATTTTCAAATCGGTGTCAAGTTGAGCCACAGCCTTATTCCAATTAATTGCCTTAATATAGCAGGATGTGTTTACTAAATACTTCGGATTTGTCACGCATTCAATATTTGTCGTTTTGTATACTAAACTAAAACTGCAATTCTAAAAGACATCTGACTTAGTGTTTTTACTTATTGTGTTGAGAAAGAGGGAATTTTACCAGATGCGGGAGCAGCCAAAGGCAATGAAATACGAGTAATTTGAAGATCATGTTCAGAACTGAGCGACACTGAATACAAAGCTTTATAAATATGATATTCATTGGCTACAGCCAAAATGGTTAGTAACTATAATTAATTGCACCGACTGGACCATAACTGATGCTTCAAAAAACCTTTGACTATGTACAATATTGTAAATATGTTGGATAAAAATGGTAAAAATATTATTGATAATAAATTTTGATAATCTTGTTAATAATGAAGCCAATTATAAAGAGGAATTTGAACGCTCTGATTCCGAAGGTAGAAGAGTATATTTGTTTTGTGAAATGTCCGTCTGGTCGTTAATATGAATGGACACCCTTATAGCTAGACACTTGAAACTAGGAACAGATATCCGCAGCCACCTAAAATTCGTAAATAACTAAATCATCCGCAGTTTTTGAGCTAGAATCTTAAAAAATTTCGAGCCACTAACTCCGTTCAAAGATCGATAAACTTATCTTCACGGTCAATCCTGCAAATAAAACCATTATAGTGTATGTCGACACATTTTAAAAGCTAGAATTATAAAATATCAATCGTAAATTAATGGAAATATTATTTTTGGGCCACCCCTAAACGAGCCCCCAAATGATGCAAGAATCTATATCTACAGCAATTTTAGGGCTAGAAATTTAAAAATATTTCATGGGAAATTTGTCAATAAAATGATAATAATATATTTAACAGCAGATCTATGGGTATATCGTAGTAGAGTTTTAAAGACTGTAGCATACCTTCTTTCTTTTATAGTGCGCTTGCCCAAGTTAATGAAATTGTATGCCTATGATCATGCTTTGGTTTTTTTTTAATACCAAACCGAGCTTTTGCCGACGCCCTCTATGAGATATAGTACAATGTCGAACCCTTTTTGGTAAGTTGATTAGAAATTTTTCTGATCGCGGGCTCTTGAGTTTTTGTCTGCCGAAAAGTGTGGCCGTGCGAGTCCCATCGACGTTGTTTTTTTTTTTGGCTCGTGGATATAGAAAAGTTCCACGTGTAACGCGATGAACATCGTCCCTAACCCGGAATTTGTTTTCAATTGGACAAATAACATAAATTATTTCGTGGGGAAAATATATTCCAAACTGTTTCATCGGCATTAACCATTAGTGAAATCAGCTACAATGATTTTCCCGTTAAACGAAAAAAAAACTATGAACTTAAATAGCTGTAATAAATATATTATTTCTAAAATATTAAGTATAAGAATAAGACGTGACCAATTTAACTGCTGGAGAAAAAAATATATATGTTTTTGTCACGGAAGTGATCGGCTGATCAGCCGATTGCACAGCCAAGTGGAGTTTTCCATCGCCAACCGCCATCCTCTCGGGATCAAGCGATCCGGCATGTATGCATACAATCTGCACAACCTTAATCCATTTTTAATAGTGTGTTGAATTTTTTTTTATTATTATTTGTAATATAAAACAAAAACAAAATTTAATAATAACTAATTAAAAATTAAATTCATTAATTATTACAATTATCAAAGTCCATATAAAGTGAAATCAAAATATGAACCATATTGAATCTAATTGGTGCGAACAAATTATATTAAACCAAAAAAAAAAATAAGTGAAGAAACAAAAAATATTACAACACTCGCCGACATTAAAGTTGTTCTTTTAAATTTAATCCTAATCAATTTACCTCTCAAGCCTATCAGATGCCCCGCCTACAAAAGATCTTTTGGATATGGAGGATGTTCAAGTAAGTGCATCTGATCCCTAACTTTACTTTTCGTTTAAATTTTATTGTTGGTAAGCAGCAATAATACTTCGATGTTAAAGTGTGTTAAAATGTGAAAAAGTGTAAAATTACAAGTGCAAAACTCTCTCAATTTGGTGATGAGAAAGACATAATAAAGAAAAAAATAACTCATCTTTGATCGCCCTTACAATGGCGAAAGAATTTTGAGCGGGCTTTTTTGTTGTCAATCAAAATTAAACCACATCCCAAAAGTATGCTAACGCTTTAATATCGAAGTCGCTGCCGAAATATATGAATGAATAAACACAGAAATAGAAATGAAACATTCGAATACAAAAAAAATAAATATAAATAAATATATAAGGGAAATAAATATAAATAAATAAAATATAAATAATATAATAAATATATATTATTATTAATATTATGAAAAAAATAAAATAAAAATAATCATAATATTGAAGTAGTATATATATATAAGTAGATAAATAATAAATGAAATAAGAAAATAATTTACTAAATTAAATAAATGAATCATTTGGTTTTGCCCTAATACTCCTTATGTTCCGAGATATTTTTTTTTTTATTTCATTTTAATCTTTTTATTTTTCGATTTAAGTAAAAATTCAAATAAATTAAATTCGTAAATAAAATAAACTTGAATATGGGTTTGCAAGAAAGAAAAAAATTAAAATAGTGAGGACAAAAATGAATCGAAATTATATACCTACATTTTATTTCGTTCTGACCAAAAATAAATAAAGTTAAAAGGTCTAATTAGCTAAATATTATTGATAATAAGTTGGTAAAAATAATTCATATTAAAATCTATTGCACTTATTTTGTATTATAATAAACTAAATAATTTCTTTCATATTATTGTAATTTTTTGTGTTAAGTGCAACAAGCTCATTTAAAGTTATAATTTTCAAATAATGTACAATATAAAAATATTAGATGTTATAAAATGAAGATTAATCACCCGTAGACTAAAATTAAAATAAATGAATATCTGTTATTAGAATATGCTTAAAATGAATAATTAATTTTTTTTTTTGGGAGTCATGCAACGCACACTGAACAGAGGATGAAATAAGTAGTCGTTGCTTTAGGGATCATCAAATATTATTATGTTTAGGTGCCTGATGATCTAGGTAGGGTGGGCATCTGCTGTGGCAATTACATCAGCCCAGCTCAAACGACGAAAACCCAGGAGTGTCGCCTCCATATTATATTTATGAGATCGTTCCTATTCCCTTTTTCTCTCTTCCTCCTTCCCAGTAATTTGTTCGAAATATAACCGCATTTTAATTAGTATTATATACAGCGAGCAGTACCCGGACTAACTACCAATCATACAGCCGGAACAAGCGGGTGCATCACTCCTTGTAGGCTACATTAAAATCTGCTCGTCAAATACCAGGTTATATGCTGTTCCTTTAGCAAAGTCTCAAAATCCCAATGTAAATATTAACACAACGAAATTCCAGAAAAGTTTGTTACATAATATTTTATAACAATTTTCGTAAAGCTTATAATCTTTTCCCGTTAACAATAAGCACACAATACACTCAATTAACATGAGAGGGTAATGCATTATGCGTACTGTGAAATATGTAATTGCTTTTAAATTATGTTTTGATTATACAGAATAATCAGCGTAATGGTTGAATGAGCACTGTCAGTATTTGTTCATAAATTCTTGAAAAATGTAAACAACCACAATTATTTATATTTGTGAGCTTATTACATTGAACTCAGTAGTTGTACTAAAAATAGATTTACACAATAAAAGAGGTGCAAGTTATGTGTGCCAATCTCTTTTATATATAATGCTTGTAGGGTACATTGAATCTAAAAAATATATGTGGAACTTATAACACTTTCTGTTTTTCCTTGCTTCCTTAAAGTTCCTAAATTTCCTTAACTTGAAAATAATATTTTATGACTCCAGCCAATTTTGTTGGTCGATCGACGTAATTCTCAGTAACATTTACGACAAATAGATAGAAGCCTAACGGAAATGTTGGCAGCAAGTTCTCATCAAGGGAAATGTTGCGAGCAGATAGATGACCCTGTGAAATGTAAATATTTATTATGACGTCTTAAAAAATGTATACATGTTACCGTGACAGGGCAACTATGATTGAAATTTAATATTTTTAGTATTTTAAAAATTGTCACACATATTTACAGTGACATTGATCAGGAATGGGTGATATCGATTGGTATAGCTCTTCTTAAGGAGCTCAAGTCGAACCTGAAAAATCACTTGGATCATTCTACATAAATAGAATACGCATTGATTGTGCTTGCTTACCGATGTATTTGATAATGGGAAAATGAGATCACAGTCCATTTGGGCAACTGCTTTGTTCCAATTAACGGCCTTTAAGAAACAAGTCGCATTTTCAACATATGACGGATCGGGCAAACATTCAATGTTTGTTGTTTTATATACAACCATGGGATCACAGAACTGCAAAGGCAATATCTAATTACAAATAGTTATTTATAATAAAGTTGTATTTTACCACTTTCAAAATGTGCGAGAAGCACAAAACGACCACTAACTTTAAATTCATTGTTAAAACTGTGAATGTTTTGAGATATGCTTTAATATAAAAGATAGTTTTGTCTGTATTCTCCAGAAAATATCACTGCAGAAAATATCACTTATTTTAATAATAACCTGATTATTAATGTTGTAAAAATTTGACAAGTTTTTTCATCCAACTGTGCCGATTATTGATTGCCAACCTCAAAGTTAAAAATGAAATGTTCAACAAGAACAATTCGACAATAATTAATTTTAATAAAAATATTCACCTTATCGTATGCATCAGTTATATTTATGGGTATCACAATAGTTAATCCTTAAATATGTTTTAAATACGACTTCATATAGTCGTAATTATGTGAGGTGGTTTCAAGGTGCCTCTGCGAGGTACCAATTAGGACAGCTGTTGTTCGATGGTGCGGATTCGTTGATACGAACTAGGTATATATATTTTTTAAAGTAATTATATTTTATTTTAGTTTGTTTCCAACATTCTACAAGAAAGAACGTTGCAGTCGCATGTAGCCGACTGCGAACTACTCAGATATACTACCTGATAACAGGTGCCACAGAACAAGGTGGGTGTAGCCGAGAAATACCGACCTTTGAAGGAGGTTCCTAGACATCCATCATCCAAGATGGCAGCAAAGAAATGTTGGATGAGTTTCCTAGTAATGTTCCTACCAAGTTTGGTATTTTTGGGGACAGGAGTGTGCGGTAACTGTAGCTCTTAAATTGCGGTAGATATTGGCTTTTATTATTTTTGGAAGTGAGTGCGGGCGTGGTCCAAAATGTTTTTCAGTATTTTTAGAAGGTGTTACTAGCAATATATTTCTCAAATTTGGTGACCATATTTTTCAAATTGTGTGAGATATATGGTTTTATCGATTTACGCAATCAAGTGTATCCATATGGCGAGACGGGGTGGGCGTGGCCATCCAATTTTGTACTGATCTCTTAGGGGAGTTACCAGTAACAGTGTTTTCAAAATTTGATGACCCTAGCTTACAAATTGTGGACGATATGCGCATTTCAGGTTTATAGGGCCAAAGTTCCTGGTGGCGGTGGGTGTGGTCTAAAAATACATATGCCGATCTTTGAAGGAGGTGCATCCCCTGCGAAGTACGCAGACACAATAGCCATAGAGACCGCGCTGCCTTTGGTGTACACCAGTATGGGAACGCAGTCTCTAGTCAAGAATTCTGAAAGGATATTAAAGTTACTCGTTTTCCTTACCATGATGCAAACTCTGGGTGCTGGATCTCTCTGATCCCAGATTACCTTTGAGTCGGCTGTGAACAGGCTTTTAATGCCATTATTCACCCACGGCTCCTGTACCAGGGCCAGCCCAAGGTGTTTGTTGGTAAGCGTCCTTGCTGAGACCGCCGAGGCCCCCTTAGCTCGGTGGATGTTTACCTGAGCCAGCCCTGTGTTGATGCCCTCAGACATCTACTGCTGGAGGGGCTCCAGCTGACACGGTGATTGGGGCCTGGAGTTGCCGCCGTCACCGCTGCTCGTCATAACGACGTCAGCTACTGCTGCACCCTGCAGCTCCTCCTCTAGCTCTTGCGAGAACATGGGAATCCCCCCCTCCCCCAGCATCTCTTCTTTGCAGAGCGTAACGACCGCCAACTTCTCGTCATCTGCGAGGTCCTCCGATGAGTCGGTGGGCTGCGCAGTTCGACTACTCTGCTCTGGGGCGGGAGTATCTGCTGTGGTGTTGTTGCCCACATTGTGTCACTCTGCTTGCCCATTGGAGCAGGCTGGGGCTTAGCTCTAATCTTCTTTTTCAATCCACTTACGGGGATGGTCCTGTAACGGAAGAAAGCTTGGTGCCCCTTCTCGACAATGATATTTTTGGACAACTCATCTATCCCAATCACAAGGAGGGCGCCTCCACCCTCGCTCCTCCTGGAGATTACCTTCCAGGTGTCAGTCTCGATCCTGTTCTGGTTCCTCAGCAGAACCAACAGGGATTCGGTTGACCTATCCACACTCCTGGGGCAGAACAGCGTGATGCAGTGGGGCGCTGCGGTATTCAGCCAAACGGCTGAGGTCTCATCGGAGCACTCAATGACCAGGAATCCAACCGTGAAATGAATGCCCGCGAATGAGACCGCGACATCTCCACCAGACGCGTTGGCTTCGTCTATGATGGCCTCCTCCAACACAGATAAGTCTCTGAGATTGAGCATGGCCCATGGAAAATCCAAGGGCAACACGGCCACCTTAACCTTTTTTGCCATATCTGCATATGAGCTGGGCTTCGTGAAGTGCTTGGACGGAGGTCCAGACTTCCTGCCCCATTAGTGGTCACCTTTGCCGCTACTGAGCCGCGGGCATACCCTCTTGGGGGTGGCCACCGATGGTGTGAGATTGCTGCTGCGTCTCTTTGGAGGAGGCGCAGGTGCTGACACCTCTTCCCTGGGTTCTGTGGCCTTTTTCAGGGCTGCTTCCGGGGTGAGACCTTGCTGGCGGTACCGAAGATACCATTTGACCCTCGAACCGCAGGGATTCCTCCGGTTTGGGTCATCCAGCCCACCGGGTTGACCCCTCGGAGGCAGGAACTCTCCCTTCCTCTTGGGGGCTGAGCGCCTTGCCTCGCGGCGTTCGGTGCTGGGCCGTGGTGGTCTGAGTGTTCCAGCCATCGCTCTCCCATGCCTCAAAGCCGGAGTCTCTTGTGCCTGCGGCACTCTCTGCTGGTGCTGGAGCAGCACGGTGTGGAGGGTGGTCTACCACACGAGAAGGTCTTCCCCCGTCTAGGGCTTGACCCTTTAAATGTCTTGCGACAAACTCCGCAGGGAGATCCTGCGGCACTTTTGTAATCTTGGAATTTTTCATGTATTCCCACGAGCTGCGGAGAAGTATGTGTCCGCCCGGGCCGAGATCCGCATTACCCTGGTAAGGCTAAATTAGAACACGTGATCGCCATTTGCCTGAGCCCACCGTTCACGACAGGGCTAGTTTTTCGTCCGGGCCCCCAGCCAAGCTGACTCTCGGCACGGATCGAATAACGCCTTAGTCCGGCCCGGAGTGAGATGTGGGTATAGGATGGGGTAGGTAGAAATGTGGGGAGATAAGGGTTGTGTGAGGCTACTTTAGAAGGCGGCAACACAAGCGCCTTGTCGGTACGATTGACATTATCGCACCCGCTGTTTGTCCGGGACTGCTTATTTACGAAGAATCTCGTATAATTCGCAGCTAACCCAACCGGGGGTAGGCCATTCGCTATCTGCAACCCGCGACCCGCCTGGTGGCCTCAGCTCAGCCTCATCCGAACCATTCCACAAGTTCTTTAGATCAGAACATGCTTTTGAGAAAACTGAAATAATTAGACTACAAATATTAGGTAATTTTTTTTCCGACTTTATTTGCTGGAATGATAATCTTTGTTAATAAGGATTGTTATTGGAATTTCTGCAGTGATTATATTTAATTTCTTTTTTTTTTTGAAACAACAGGTTCCATAGCTTGAAAATAAAACTTGACCGTGCCAATGTGTTCAATTGTGTTATTGATGTGTTCCCTAAATATGTTGGACCATAGATAGAAACCCAATGGGAACGGAGGTATAAGATGTGCATCAATATATACGTTGCGGGCTAATAAGTGACCATCAACAGGGCAACTGTGATTAACGTTTGTAAATTGTTTTAAAATTGTATTAAATATAACGCCATATGCCATGAAATTTCGTTTTGAAATTGCATCGCATACGTTAAAGTTAACATCTATAAGAAACGGTTGATATTGATTGCTGTAGTCCTTCTTAAAGGCTGTTGTTCGCAACTGGAATAACTTTTTGATAAATACATATTATGCTGAGTTAATTCAACTTACTGATACATTACGTAGTGGTCTTTTCAAATCGGTGTCAAGTTGAGCCACAGCCTTATTCCAATTAATTGCCTTAATATAGCAGGATGTGTTTACTAAATACTTCGGATTTGTCACGCATTCAATATTTGTCGTTTTGTATACTAAACTAAAACTGCAATTCTAAAAGACATCTGACTTAGTGTTTTTACTTATTGTGTTGAGAAAGAGGGAATTTTACCAGATGCGGGAGCAGCCAAAGGCAATGAAATACGAGTAATTTGAAGATCATGTTCAGAACTGAGCGACACTGAATACAAAGCTTTATAAATATGATATTCATTGGCTACAGCCAAAATAGTTAGTAACTATAATTAATTGCACCGACTGGACCATAACTGATGCTTCAAAAAACCTTTGACTATGTACAATATTGTAAATATGTTGAATAAAAATGGTAAAAATATTATTGATAATAAATGTTGATAATCTTGTTAATAATGAAGCCAATTATAAAGTGGAATTTGAACGCTCTGATTCCGAAGGTAGAAGAGTATACTTGTTTTGTGAAATGTCCGTCTGGTCGTTAATATGAATGGACACCCTTATAGCTAGACACTTGAAACTAGGAACAGATATCCGCAGCCGCCTAAAATTCGTAAATAACTAAATCATCCACAGTTTTTGAGCTAGAATCTTAAAAAATTTCGAGCCACTAACTCTGTTCAAAGATCGATAAACTTATCGTCAAGGTCAATCCTGCAAATAAAACCATTATAGTGTATGTCGACACATTTTAAAAGCTAGAATTATAAAATATCAATCGTAAATTAATGGAAATATTATTTTTGGGCCACCCCTAAACGAGCCCCCAAATGATGCAAGAATCTATATCTACAGCAATTTCCGAGCTAGACATATAAACATTTTTAGGGCGAAATTTGTCAATAAAATGATAACAGTATATTTAACAGCAGAGCTATGGGTATATCGTAGTAGAGCTCTAAAGACTGTGGCATACCTTCTTTCTTTTTTTTTTTTATTTAAGAAGAGAAGTTGGCCAAACAAATCTATCATATCTGTATGGCTATACTATTCTTTTATTATAATGGTATCTCGAATATCATACATATTTATAGCGTTTAATTTATATTTTTGTTTTAGTGTTCTTTTATCCATAGCTTGAAGAAGTTTGAAGGTTTTCGCTGGATCCTTCAGCAAAGTTCTCAAAATCCCAATGCAAATATTACCACAACGAAATTCAAGTTTATTTGAGTAATTGCTTCATATAACAACTCTGTAAAGATTATTCCATAATATTTTATAACAATTCTCGTAAAGATTATAATCTTTTCCCGTTAACAATAAGCACACAATACACTCAAGTACCAAGAGAGTGTAATGCATTATGCGTACTGTGAAATATGAGCTGAGCTATCATTTATGTTAAGCATCCCGTATTGTAATTGCTTTTAAACTAGGTTTCGATTATACTGAATAATCAGCGTAATGGTTGAATGAGCACTGTCAGTATTTGTTCATAGTTGTACTAAAAATAGATTTACACAATAAAAGAGGTGCAAGTTATGTGTTCCAATCTCTTTTATATATAATGCTTGTAGGGTACATTGAATCTAAAAAATATATGTGGAACTTATAGCACTTTGGGGCGTCAGCTGTATTTAGGCAGTGGATCCCTTTTCTTTCTTGCTTCCATTTCCTTAACTTGAAAATAATATTTTATGACTCCAGCCAATTTTGTTGGTCGATCGACGTAATTCTCAGTAACATTTACGACAAATAGATAGAAGCCTAACGGAAATATTGGGAACAAGTTCTCATCAAGGGAAATGTTGCGAGCAGATAGATGACCCTGTGAAATGTAAATATTTATTATGACGTCTTAAAAAATGTATACATGTTACCGTGACAGGGCAACTATGATTGAAATTTGAGTATTTCTTGAGTATTTTCCCAAAAATCGTTCCGTAGGTTATGAAATTTCTCTTCGCTATCAAGTCACACATATTTACAGTGACATTGATCAGGAATGGGTGATATCGATTGGTATAGCTCTTCTTAAGGAGCTCAAGTCGAACCTGGAAGATCACTTGGATGATTCTACTTAAATAGGGTACGCATTGATTGTGCTAGCTTACCGATGTATTTGATAATGGGAAAATGAGATCACAGTCCATTTGGGCAACTGCTTTGTTCCAATTAACGGCCTTTACGAAACAAGTCGCATTTTCAACATATGACGGATCGGGCAAACATTCAATGTTTGTTGTTTTATATACAACCATGGGATCACAGAACTGCAAAGACAATATCTAATAACAAATAGTTATCTATAATAAAGTTCTTATTTTACCACTTTCAAAATGTGCGAGAAGCACAAAACGACCACTAACTTTAAATTCATTGTTAAAACTGTGAATGTTTTTAGATTTGCTTTAATATAAATGATAGTTTTGTCTGTATTCTGCAGAAAATATCAGTTAATTGTAATTTAATGAGGTTTTAATAATAACCTGATTATTAATGTTGTAAAACTTTGACGAGTTTTTGAATCCAACTGTTCCGATTATTGATTGCCAACATTAACGTTCAACATGAAATGTTCAACAAGAACAATTCGACAATAATTAATTTTAATAAAAATGTTTACCTTATCGTATGCATCAGTTATATCTATGGGTATCACAATAGTTAATCCTTAAATATGATCTAAATACGACTTCATTTAGTCGTAATTATACGAGGTGGTTTCAAGGTGCCTCTGCGAGGTACCAATTAGGACAGCTGTTGTTCGATGGTGGGGATTCGTTGATACGAACTAGGTATATATATATTTTTTAAAGTAATTATATTTTATTTTAGTTTGTTTCCACTCTTCTACAAGAAAGAACGTTGCAGTCGCACGTAACCTTTGAAGGAGGTTGCTAGAAATCTGTCCTCCAAGTTGCAAGCAAAGAAATGTTGGAGGAGTTTCCTATTAATCTTCCTACCAAATTAAGTATTTTTGGGGACAGGAAAGTTCTTTGAAGGAGGTACAATCTTTCTTCCAAGTTTGGTAACTGTAGCTCTTAAAATTGCAGGAGATATTGGCCTTTTTTATTATTGTTTACTTGGGGAAGCGTCCGTGGGCGAGGCACTCCAATTTGAACATTGTTTTTACCAGTATATTTTAGAAGGTTCAAGTTACTAGCAATATGGGTGGTGTACAAAGTTGTGTTCGTACAGGTGGATAGACAGCATGATGGGCTTTGCACAAAACCAATATATTATGATACCTTCGATATCAGAGAACAAATTAGAAGCGATTTATATTAAAAACTGATATTATTTGTCTCAAAACATCATAATGGTATACGAGAGCTCATACTCCAAATTTGAAGTCCTATCTATTATAGTCTCTTAATTCTTATCAAAAATATATACCTAATGGGGTCTGAGATGATTCCTTCCGACTTACATACCTTTTTTTTTTTTTTTTTTTTTTTGTTAAATTTATATTTTTAACATTTTTATATGTTTTATTTTTTTTTTTAAATTTTTTTTTTTAAAAAAAAAAAAAAAAATACCTTATGCTACAGCTTCTGAATATTACCACAACTAAATCGTTAAATACTTAATGTGAGTTCTGAAAAGTTTATAATGTTTTTTTTTTCCAAAAAAAAAAAAAAAAAAAAAAAAAAAAAAAAAAAGCGGAAGGAGTATTGTGCAATATTAGAATTGACTGGTGTCGATATACCCAATTCTAATTTTCAAAATCTATTTTAAATGAATAATGGTAATAGTTTTTTTTTAGACGTAACTGTATGTTACTATGAAATGGAAACACTTAACCACATTATTTTTTGTGAGCTCATGCACATCAAAAATCGGATACAAATGGACTTATAGGCCTTATTATATTTAACTCAAAAGTTATACTAAAATTGATTGATTGATGATGTTGGTATTTATGATATATAATGCATATAACAAAATTTATATCTAAGTTCCAACCCTTTGGTGTTTGTTGGGGTTCTTTTTTCTTTGCTTCCATTTCCTTAACTTGAAAATAATATTTGATGGCTCCAGCCATTTTTGTTGGTCGATCGACGTAATTCTCAATAACACTTATGATAATTAAATAGAAACCCAACGGAAATGTTGGCAACAAGTTTTCATCAATGTAAATGTTGCGCGCAAATATGTGACCCTAAACGAAAAATTTAAATATTTATTCTGACATCTTTAAAATATATAAAAATTTTACCGTAAATGGACAACTATGATTCACATTTGTGTACTTCTTGAGTATTTTCCAAAAAATGGTTCCGTAGGGTATGAAATTTCTCTTCGCTATCACGTCACACATATTTACAGTGACATTGATCAGGAATGGATTATATCGATTGGTATAGCTCTTCTTAAGGAGCTCAATCCGAACCTGGAAGATCACTTGGATGATTCTACATAAATAGGGTACGCATTGATTGTGCTTGCTTACCGATGTATTTGATAATGGGAAAATGAGATCACAGTCCATTTGGGCAACTGCTTTGTTCCAATTAACGGCCTTTAAGAAACAAGTCGCATTTTCAACATATGACGGATCGGGCAAACATTCAATGTTTGTTGTTTTATATACAACCATGGGATCACAGAACTGCAAAGGCAATATCTAATAACAAATAGTTATTTATAATAAAGTTGTCATTTTACCACTTTCAAAATGTGCGAGAAGCACAAAACGACCACTAACTTTAAATTCATTGTTAAAACTGTGAATGTTTTGAGATATGCTTTAATATAAATGATAGTTTGGTCTGTATTCTGCAGAAAATATCAGTTAATTGTAATTTAATGAGGTTTTAATAATAACCAGATTATTAATGTTGTAAAACTTTGACGAGTTTTTGAATCCAATTGTTCCGATTATTGATTGCCAACATCAACGTTCAACAAGAACAATTCGACAATAATTAATTTTAATAAAAATGTTTACCTTATCGTATGCATCAGTTATATTTATGGGTATCACAATAGTTAATCCTTAAATATGATCTAAATACGACTTCATTTAGTCGTAATTATACGAGGTGGTTTCAAGGTGCCTCTGCGAGGTACCAATTAGGACAGCTGTTGTTCGATGGTGGGGATTCGTTGATACGAACTAGGTATATATATATTTTTTAAAGTAATTATATTTTATTTTAGTTTGTTTCCACTCTTCTACAAGAAAGAACGTTGCAGTCGCACGTAACCTTTGAAGGAGGTTGCTAGAAATCTGTCCTCCAAGTTGCAAGCAAAGAAATGTTGGAGGAGTTTTCTAGTAATCTTCCTATCAAATTTAGTATTTTTGGGGACAGGTTCTTGGTAATCTTTCATCCAAGTTTGGTAACTGTAGCTCTTAAATTGCGGGAGATATTGGCTTTTATTGTTTTTGGGGAAGGGTGCGGGCGTGGTCCAAAATGTTTTTCAGTATTTTTAGAAGGTGTTACTAGCAATATGGGTGTCATATTTGGAAGCAAACTTAACTTGTGGGCATTGCACAAAACCAATATATTATGATACCTTCGGTATCAGAGAATACAAATGTTTTCCTGCGTAATTTGGAAAGTTTCCATCACGGACAGTAGATCAAATTAGAATAGATTTATATTCAAAACTGATATTATTTATCTCAAAACTTCATAATGGGATACGAGAGCTCATACTCCAAATTTGAAGTCCTATCTATTATAGTCTCTTAATTCTTATCAAAAATATATACCTAATGGGGTCTGAGATGATTCCTTCCGACTGTAACATACCTTTGCACAGCTTCATTATACTCTTTTTTTTTTATTTTAACTGAGTTCAGTGTATAGCGAGATTGGCTATTTTTGTTAACCCATAAATTTCAATATCTATTTAAAAAAACGACTGTATGTTATATGTGTTATATTTGTCCGATGTTGATCATTTTCTGCTGAAATGCTAGAATGTTTTTTGCCACCTATGTCAGCTGGTATTTTATTTAGAAATTATTTCTAAAAACAAGAAAGCTTTGTATATATTGTGGTAATTTACAAAAATTAGAGTAGATGGAGCCCAATGGAAATATTACCCCAACGAAATCAAAGTTCAAAACACTTAATGTGAATTCTCGAAAAGTTTATAATGTTTTTTCATTACTGTTGGAAATGGCGTGGATAAAAATGAAGAGTTAAACGCAGTTTCTAATTATGGATTATCTTTATTATGCGCGAGTGCGTCTTTATTTATTGAAGAATTGAGAGCAACTTTTTGAACTGAACTTAGGAAAAATACAACGCAGAAGGAAAGAAAGACAATTCATGTGTGATCAGATCTTCGATACTAATCGATATAGCGATACTTAAGTATTAATCGTTGCTGCGATATTCAAACATATTTCAACAATTACCAATAAACAGTACACAACACACTCAACAACCATGAGAGGGGAAGGAGTATTGTGCAATATTAGAATTGACTGGTGTCGATCATACCTAATTCTAATTGTTTTTAAATTAGTATTGGATTATACTGAATAATCGGCATAATAGTTGACCGAGCATTGTCGGTCATTCCTCGTCAGCGTAAGTGGATTTACTCTTGGAAAATGGAAACACTTAACCACATTATATTTTTGTGAGCTCATGCACATCAAAAATCGGATACAAATGAACTTATAGGCTTTATTATATTTAACTCAAAAGTTATACTAAAATTGATTGACTGATTGGTAGATGCAAATTAAGAGTTCCAACCCTTTTTTTTTTTCCTTCCATTTCCTTAACTTGAACATAATATTTGATGGTTCCAGCCATTTTTGTTGGTCGATCGACGTAATTCTCAATAACACTTATGATAATTAAATAGAAACCTAACGGAAATGTTGGCAACAAGTTCTCATCAATGTAAATGTTGCGCGCAAATATGTGACCCTAAACAAAAAATTTAAATATTTATTCTGACATCTTTAAAATATATAAAAATATTACCGTAAATGGACAACTATGATTCACATTTGTGTACTTCTTGAGTATTTTCCAAAAAATGGTTCCGTAGGGTATGAAATTTCTCTTCGCTATCACGTCACACATATTTACAGTGACATTGATCAGGAATGGATTATATCGATTGGTATAGCTCTTCTTAAGGAGCTCAAACCGAACCTGGAAGATCACTTGGATGATTCTACATAAATAGGGTACGCATTGATTGTGCTTGCTTACCGATGTATTTGATAATGGGAAAATGAGATCACAGTCCATTTGGGCAACTGCTTTGTTCCAATTAACGGCCTTTAAGAAACAAGTCGCATTTTCAACATATGACGGATCGGGCAAACATTCAATGTTTGTTGTTTTATATACAATCTTGGGATCACAGTACTGCAAAGGCAATATCTAATAACAAATAGTTATTTATAATAAAGTTATCATTTTACCACTTTCAAAATGTGCGAGAAGCACAAAACGACCACTAACTTTAAATTCATTGTTAAAACTGTGAAATGTTTTGAGATACGCTTTAATACAAAAGATAGTTTTGTCTGTATTCTGCACATAATCTCACTTAATTGTAATTTAATGAGGTTTTAATAATAACCTGGTTATTAGTGTTGCAAAAATCTTACCAGTTTATTAATCCAACTGTTCCGATTGTTGACTGCCAACATCAATGTTCAACATGAACAATTCGACAATAATTAATTTTAATAAAAATATTTACCTTATCGAATGCATCAGTTATATTTATGGGTATCCCAATAGTTAATCCTTAAATATGTTCTAAATACGACTTCATTTAGTCGTAATTATACGAGGTGGTTTCAAGGTGCCTCTGCGAGGTACCAATTAGGACAGCTGTTGTTCGATGGTGGGGATTCGTTGATACGAACTAGGTATATATATTTTTTAAAGTAAATATATTTTATTTTAGTTTGTATTTTAACTGGGTTCAGTGTATAGCGACTTTGGAAATTTTTGTTAAGCCATACATTTCAATATCTATTTAAAAAAACGACTGTGTGTTATATGTGTTATATTTGTCCGATGTTGATCATTTTCTGCAGAAATGCTAGAATGTTTTTGCCACCTATGTCAGCTGGTATTTTATTTAGAAATTATTTCTAAAAACGAGAAAGTTTGTATATATTGTGGTAATTTACAAAAATTAGAGTAGATTTTTTTCTGAGTGTATTATGCTAATGCCCAATGGAAATATTACCACAACGAAATCAAAGTTCAAAATACTTAATGTGAGTTCTCGAAAAGTTTATAATGTTTTTTCATTACCAATAAACAGTACACAACACACTCAACAACCATGAGAGGGGAAGGAGTATTGTGCAATATTAGAATTGACTGGTGTCGATCATACCTAATTCTAATTGTTTTTAAATTAGTATTGGATTATACTGAATAATCGGCATAATAGTTGACCGAGCATTGTCGGTCATTCCTCGTCAGCGTAAGTGGATTTACTCTTGGAAAATGGAAACACTTAACCACATTATATTTTTGTGAGCTCATGCACATCAAAAATGGGATACAAATGAACTTATAGGCCTTCTTATATTTAACTCAAAAGTTATACTAAAATTGATTGATTGATAGATGCAAATTAAGCGTTCCAATCTTTATGATATATAATGCATATAACAAAATTTATATCTAATTTATAACACTTTGGTGCTTCAGTTGTACCGAGGCAGTGGCTTCCTTCTTTTTTTTGCTTCCATTTCCTTTACTTGAAAATAATATTTGATGGCTCCAGCCAATTTTGGTGGTCGATCGACGTAATTCTCAAAAACACTTATGATCATTAAATAGAAGCCTAACGGAAATGTTGGGAACAAGTTCTCATCAAGGAAAAAGTTGCGTGCAAATATGTGACCCTAAACAAAAAATGTAAATATTTATTCTGACATCTTTAAAATATATAAAAATATTACCGTAAATGGACAACTATGATTCACATTTGTATAATTCTTGAGTATTTTCCAAAAAATGGTTCCGTAGGGTATGAAATTTCTCTTCGCTATCACGTCACACATATTTACAGTGACATTGATCAGGAATGGGTGATATCGATTGGTATAGCTCTTCTTAAGGAGCTCAACCCGAACCTGGAAGATCACTTGGATGATTCTACATAAATAGGGTACGCATTGATTGTGCTTGCTTACCGATATATTTGATAATGGCAAAATGAGATCACAGTCCATTTGGGCAACTGCTTTGTTCCAATTAACGGCCTTTACGAAACAAGTCGCATTTTCAGCATATGACGGATCGGGCAAACATTCAATGTTTGTTGTTTTATATACAATCTTGGGATCACAGTACTGCAAAGGCAATATCTAATAACAAATAGTTATTTATAATAAAGTTCTTATTTTACCACTTTCAAAATATGCGAGTAGCACAAAGCGACCACTAACTTAAAATGCATTTTTTAAACTGTGAATATGATGAGATATACTGTAATATAACACATAATATGACAATCATATTTTAATGAGGTTTTAATAACAAACTGATTATTAGTGTTTTGAATAAAACTGTTCCGATTGTTGATTGTCAACATCAAATTTTAAACAATATAAGGAAGATTGGTGTAGTCGAGTGAGCTCGACTACGATGCGCCCTGTTTAATATAAACTGATATGCTTCCTTCTTCGTTACATAAATTTGCACAGCATTAAACCCCTTTAATCTTTCAATTGGTTTTCAATTGGTTCAGGGTTCTAAGTACTTATAATAATTGAAGCAAGTGTGTATAAAGAAAAAAATAGTGCTAAAAAAGCATTAAAGTATGCATTATATTCGTACACTAACACAAAACAATAAAAATAAAAAAATACACCACCAGTTTATGAGAAGGTCTTTATCGGACTTATTTTGGGTGGGTGATTGTGCTGTTTGTCCCAGTTTGTCAAGAGTGAGAGAATGGGCGAATCTTATCTTGGTTGAAAAGAGACCTTGCATAAAGCGAATAAAATTTGCGTTTATTTTGAGCATTCATTTTTATGGTCATGGGTTCGTAAATAAAAAGAACTAATTGAACACCATATAAATCATACCGACGTTGTAAATATCGAATCGTCCTTGGTTTCCCCATCTCTTTTCCCTTTATCTAGTTTAATGCCCTTCCGTTTCCTATCAGTTTTATTTTAATTCCTGTAACGATTACCGATAGGCTGTCAATATTCCTGTGAATGAAAAAATAATACATACTTCCCAAAAACCTTTGCCCAATTTTCCCTAGCATTTTGATTAAACAATTAACGCGTCTGCTACAAGTGCCGGTCAACGTAATATTATATATATTTTATTATTAAATTTCATATTATTACAGATCTAAGCGAGAAATATATTATGCCGTTTTCAAGAATTGCGCGAAGCACACTATTGGAACTTGTCTTTCTAATATATTTATATTTATATTTTAAGCCTCATTGATGACGATTGTAGAGTAATGTATTTTAAATTATGATGAAATGATAATATACCACTTTGTTATTAAATATATATAATAATATATATAATTTATAATAATGATCTCACTTTTTTGCCAGAAATAAAAAGAACAAGTTTAACTATTTTAAATATATATGGTCTATATTTATACTTTAATAATAAGAAAATAAAGTTTACAAAATTAACCTCTGCACTCAATTTGCAATTATTTCACAAGAATAGTGAAATAAGTTTGTAAATACATCCGTACAGTGTCTCAGACCTTATTTCGACTAGTGTCTAGCAAAAATTTGTTGGATTTGTTAGATCCGATAGCACAGTTTCACAGCGTTTATAAATAAGATAACGATATTCTACAGGAATCAGAGTTTTTATTTGTGTAACGACGCGACTTATTCAGCAGTCTAAAACGGAGTCTATTGCTATTGTGAAATTCATATTTGAGTACGTACGAATGAAGGAACAATGTAAAACTTAAGATAAACTAAATATTAGTTGCCAGATTGTTAGATCAATATTGCATATAATAGGGTCACATTTGCAACACTAATTATACATTATTTTACAAAAATTCCAAAGACCGATGGCAGGTGCATATATTCACCACAAAAATAAATATATGACCCCAATAAAATGGGGGTTCGCCACCTGCTAGGTCGGGCTATGTAAAAAAGTACCTTAATTTATGGTCAAAGCTTATTTCGAACAGTTGCATTATGGACATATGGGTGTATATGTTTTCGAGCACAAATGAAACTCCTGAAACTTTCTTCGGAAGCGTCTTTTGGTTTATTGTCATTTGGTTGAGTTCTGATTTTAGACTGACAGACTGTTCGATTGTGTTTTTAAATAAAGAAGGAGAGAAGCCACACAATGCTAACACTAGGCGTCTCAATGATTTGACCTCTGGAAGAGTGTCAAATTGGAAGACCACCAAAATATAGCCCGCTAAACGACGGCGGTCTGCTTATATATTTGAAAATTATTCTGAGTGCGACTACATTCTACAATTATTACCATAGCCTAAATTAAAAACGTGTCATCAAAACTTTTTTGGACTATTTTAAAAAATAAATCTTAAGTAATAAATAAAAAATTTTAAATTTTAATTAAGCCTCAATATTTAAATGCCATTATAATTATATCACAATATACTTACAGAGAATTCTCAATTTTGTAGTAGTAATTTGTAATTTGTAGTAATTATATTCAATTTTTTGTGAATTGTTTGGCCATTTTCAGAAATATATATTGCATAAAATTGCGTTTTGTTAACAAATCGCAAAACATTGAGGCTGACATCCACAAGGAACGGTTGATATTGGTTGCTGTAGTCTTTCTTGAATATCTGTAATCGAAACTGAAATATTTATTTATATTATATGCAAATATAATTTTTTGGGGTTTTATTGCAACAGTTAATAATATTATGAATATAATTATAATATAATGTAATTATTAATTTAACATCGTTTTATTGTGTTTCGCGTCAGCGTATTTATCTTTTTTTGAAAACAGCTCTCACCACCTATTCCGTCAAAGACCGAACTCTCTCTTCTTCCGAACTGAGACTACCTTACTCGCGTCTCTCGTTCTTCGCCGATCGTCTTCTTTAAGCAGATTCGCCGGATTGCAAATTCGCTCTCGTCGTTGTTCATTTTCTCGTCGTTGTTTATTTTCTAGTCGATATTTATCTTCTCGTTGTTATTATTTAGCGATCGTCGTTATCGTTGTTTACGTTCGTCGTAGTTGTTGGGATTGGTCTCAGAAGTCAAAAACCAACACTGATATATAAATATATATATAATATAAGAATATATGTATATAATGATTTACCAATAATATGATTTTAATGTTCTACTGGTTATAATTGCAATAGGCATAGTGCGAGATTGATTACTGGATTTTATCAATGTTCTGAAAAATTGAGTCGAGATAGTATTAAGTAAATAAATATTTCGACAACTCAAGTGATATCTTCCTTATACTGAGAGACGTGCTTTGCATCTTGTCTTTCTTCACTTATGTACCTCCTTCGGTTCACAGCTCTGAAATTATTTAACATTTATTCATACTAGCTAGCGAATTGTATGATTAACGTTTTTCCATTTTCTAGTTAAGCTATTAAAGGCACAGTATTAAATTTAGCTCTATGGTGCATGATTTATATATGGAGGGTAAATAGTTAGTCTGAGCCATGGCAGCAATAAGAAATATATATTTATCATTAAGCTATTGCGGATGCTTGAACTGAATATCTTTTATAATTCTGAGATGGAATGTTTTAAAATAAATTCATGCATTTTTAATTATTCACAATTTATACATTACAAAACATTTCAAAAACTAATAATTATTCTTGGAGTGCTTTCCAGAAATAGGATAAATCAATGATTATGAACTTTGAGCGCAAAAGACAAGAGCTGTTGTTTTTTTTTTGTTATTGTTGGCTTGTGGCTTAAATTAAACAGCGTAATCCGAGGGATTATAGCCACTGTCATCGGAGCTGGCGTTGTTCCAAGAATCGCTGATGATGCCCGAACGTTGACAAAGCCAAAGCGATGCCGACACGTGCCAACAGTGCCACTGCTACTGCCACGCCAATGCCGTAACGGTAAGTGTTTCCGTTAGCAGTAGGCAGAAAGTATTGTATAATTTACGGCTGGCCAAAAGCGGAAATATTGACATGGATACGCCAGTATGGCGTTGTCATTTTGTCAGTCTCTGGCGCCCACTCGCAGCATTGTTGTCTGCTTTAATTAATTAAACTTGATTAACGAAAATTTTATGATTGTCCACTGGCAACAGGAGGCAATCAATCAAAGCCTCGGCCGAGGAGCAAGGGGCGTGCCAGCCCCTGCCCCTTCGCGTTGGTGTGTTAATTATTTTGCATTAAATATTTATGAGTTTGGGCCCAATATAGCTGAATAAGAAAAAATAAATTGTTTGGAAAATTAATTAGGCATGCGATAAATGAACGTATGACAACAGCAGCAGTAGCAACAGCAACAATTGCGAAAAGAGTGGTTAATAAATTGCCGTTGCACATTTGGGTTCAACAGTTGACTGCACACAACATATTTTTTAAACAAACAACTGTTGACTTAATGGCTCGCTAACTCTCTAGATAAGCAGCGGAAACGATAGTAGTCATTCGTGCTCCAATCGAGAATGCCAGTCATGGATATACCCTGTAACACATCTGCAAATGAGAAAGAGTCAACAAACCACTCTAAATTAAAACCTTAACCCTGAGTAATGCTAGAATTTATAAAAACCCCTTTGAAGAAACTTTTTCCTTTCATTAGTGATAGGATTAATCTAATCTCTTGCGACTTCTACATATTGAGTCATTTTGTCGCTCAAGACTATTTATATAATTTATATTTATAAATTTATATTATTTGTCATTGCTTGTTGTACTCTTTTACATGACACAGGGTATAACAAATACAATCTCTGTTCTTTTCTGTTTATTTTTTCAGTCAAATTAAAAAAATGTGTTAATCCATTTGTACATTGTTTTATTTTTCAATTTCGTACATAGTTTTGTTTTATTTAAGTTTTTGTTATTTTTAGCTATATCATGAAAAAAATTACATGTAACATATGCACAATAATTGCAGACAAAATAACGCTAATTAAATACAATTATCAGGAAGTTTGTCACATTCATCAGAAAAAAAAATTCAATTTATTTTCAGCTGAGAGATACTGAAATCTGTTTGCAAGAAAACTATAAACATATGTTGCTGTAAAAGTTTTAAATAAACGGCATTCAAAACTTAATCGCATTTCAAATCATGCGAAAACCAATTATTATACAAAATTGCAATATTTGGTAATTGAAATGTAGATATAACCAGATTGATAACAAGCCGCTTTAGTCATATACGATATGGTATACAGGTAACAAAATAAAAATTACGACACGGAAAAACAGCATATTTGATAACGAATGGCTAATAGCTATAGCTCATAACTAAATGCTTTAAGTCGCATATATATTTAGTATAATTTGAGTTCTCGCTGCCTGTTGTCAAATAACTCAATGTCCAATTGTCAAGTGCTTCAACTTATTTGGAAGTGCTAATTCATTGGCTTTTGCCATGCCGAAACTAATTTAACAAATTTGCACATGTGACAGCTAACTAACTGGCTAACTGACAGGCTGACAATGAGACAGGCCGATGTACAGGCTGAGCTGACAGCGGAAACATTTTTTTCTCCTTGATTCAATTAGCGATAATTTAAAATGCCAGTATGAGAGCAAAAAGTAAAATAAAGTAAAGTAAAGGAAAAGAGGAAAATGCAACCCCAATTTTCTACATGACCCCCATCAAAAATAAAGCTGCTGCTGCTGTTGTTTTTGTTGTTGTTGTCGTGGCTTGAAGACAAGTGTTGATTTGACCTGATTTGGGTCTCAACTGCTGCTTGTTGTTGTTGCTTAGCTGTCACGTTAGCAAGCGTTTACTGATCCACGCGTGTCTAGAAACAAAAAGTCATTCCATGTCTATCGGGCGCCAAATCGAATCAAACTGTGCATTTGTTAGTGTGAACGACGCATAGCCAAAATTAACTTAATTTTTTTCATATATATAAACATATTTACCTAATATTATGAACTAACCAGGCAAATTTCGATGTTGATTTTAAATTTTACGTAGCGAAAGGACTATCAAATGAGGGCAGCCGCAGCTGGATTGTTTCTGCAGGTGACGTGATTTCCCGTTCGACGAATTTCTGAAAGTTGCGTACAAATTTGTCAATTTATCTTCAACCCACACTTCGACTGCTGCTTGCTGCTGCTGTTGGCATTGCCAATGTTAGACAGGTGCTGCTGCCTTCCGTTGGACAGATGTTTCTGCAGCTGACACTTCTGCTGAGGCTGCTCTAAAAGTCAACCCATGACTAAAACGCCTTACTTTTGAAAATTGGATCAGTTTTGACAAAGTTATGGGCACTGGAAAGCTTGGACCCATGTCCATTTAGTATTATTTGGCCTAGGATTTTCACTTGATTTTCAAATTCAAATCATGCTTCCAGATTTAAGTGCAGTCTTAATCTATAAGTCAATCATTATTTAAAACTAACCGGGCAATTTCACTTTCACTTTCAATTTCACTAAGAAGTTATGCAAAATAGTTGTGCACCATTTTCCCTCGCCCGGAAACTCAAATATTCAAATGCGCCCTCTTACTAATCACCCAAGTTCACTTGGAGAGCCTAGATTTAAATCATAAATCAGGCAGTTAGTCGGTTATTTGTATTGAAGATATATGTTGACAGAGGTATTTATTTTAGATTTCAGTTTAAGTGACAGCAACAATAACAAAGCAAATACATACGTAAGTTGTCGGCTCTCAGCTCATGTACTTTTTATTGAAGTTAAACTCTTGACTGCTGCTGGGAACTTAACGCTACAAATGAGATTATAATGCGTATTCGCACAGTAGGCACAGCGGGTTTGTCCGCATATTTTATCATCATCATCATCCCAAGCTTGCGCTCATAAGTGGCACACATACACATTTACACATAAGTACACAAACATACACAGAAAGATATATGCCTAAATGCACATTGACAAATGCTTGAGTTGCTTGCCAAACATGAAAACACATTTGTCTAGCCGCAGGCGGGCCCCTACTTAGTATGTCTTTGTGTGTGTGTGTGTGTGCGTGTGTGTGTGCGTGTGTGTTGCAAAGTGCAAGTGCGTTGCGTGTATTTTAAAGGCAACGGCGTCTGTGGCAGTATCAGTGACTGCTAATAGGGCAAACATTTGTACGCAATTGCCAACTGACTGCGTCTTAATGCCACACACGCAATTAAATTAAATAACACTATAATTAATTACAGTGCAGAAAGATGAGGCGCAAGGGGCAAAAAACAAAAAAAAAGCAACTAAATGAAGAAACATTTCGTTGGCTCCAGTCTCTCGGCTTGATTTGTTAGCAACATTCGGTGGCACGCACTTGGTGCGGCTCTAAGGTAGGTGTTAATGCTCGCCGTTGCCAACACCATTCATTATTAAAGGTTATATGTGTGTGTGTGTGTGTGTGTAGGTGTGTGGGTGTATGCCTGCGTGTGTATGTGCGAGCTTGTGGCAGTGCCACTGACCTGTTTGAAATAAAGAATGATTTATGTTGAAAAAGCTGGCCGCGCATGTTCGTTCCCACAATTAAACTTTGACCCCACAGTTGCTTGGTTTTCGTCTGCGTTTTCGATAACTGTTTCCTTTTTGGCAGTGCTTTTTATTTGCTATCTCAGCGCTACCCAAATAAAATGCTATTTATATACTAATGCTAAAAATATTTAAAACTATAAGACACAGTTAAGAAATTTAAGACCAATGAGAATGATATACTATAATATTCTATCTCTAGATTGACTTTCTGTATTCCATATTCCATGTTCTATATACTATATTCTTTATTATATTTGATTTCTATATTCTACATTCTATATTCTATATTATGTATTATATATTTTATATATTCTATATTCTATATTCTCTGTTGTGTTTTCTATATTCTATATTTTATATTCTGTATTCAATATTCTATATTATATATACTATATATTATATATTTTATATATTCTATATTCTATTCTATATTCTGTGTTCAATATTCTATATTTTATTATTAATATTAAA